CCTTATGCCATGGAGGGGCCAACTCCTATTTCGGCTCTTATACATGCTAGAAGGTCTCTTGTAGCCCGGCTTCTTCATCTTGTCACAGTTATACCCTACATAAATCTTATTTCTTTGATAGGTGTAATAACAATTCTATAAGGGGCCACTTGGCTCTTGCTAAAAGAGACATTAAAAGAAGTTTAGCTTATTCTAACATCTCTCAACTAGGTTATATTATGTTGGCTTCAAGTATAGGTTCTTATCGAGCCTCTTTATTCCATTCAATCACTCATGCCTATTCAAAAGCATACCCTTCCTTAGCTTCCTGTTCCTATTTTAATGGGATTGGGACTCCTGCTTGTTCCCCTGGCAACAAAAAGTTTTTGTTGGATATGGGCTTTTCCCAATGTTTTACTGTTAAATATAGTTGTGGTTTTTTCTGCCAATTTGTTTATTAAGCAAATAAATGGTATTTGATTTATCAGTATCTATGGTTCTGGACCATCAATACTGATTATTCCTTAGAGTTTGGCTATTTGATCGATTCACTTACTTTTATTATGTCAATCTTAATTGCTTCGGTTGGAATGATAGTTCTTATCTATAGTGATAATTACATGTTCCATGTTAAAGGATATTTAAGATTTTTTGCTTATTTGAGCTTTTTTTTTAAAACAAAAAAAAAGAAGTATGGTGACTTATGGTCTCACTGAGGATATGACATTTAATATAGCAGATTGGAGAACCATGATTCATGTAGCCAACCACAATTAATTGGGACAAGGCTAAAATGATGATGATGATGAGTTTTTTCAATACATCAATGTTGGGATTAGTTATTAGTCCCAATTTGATACAAATTTATATTTTATGGGAACTTGTTGGAATGTGTTCATATCTATCATTTGGTTTTTGGTTTACCTGACCAATTGTGGCAAATATTGTCTAAAAGCATCTATAACTAATCGTGTATGGGATTTTGATTTATTATTACAAATTTTAGGTCGTTATTGGAAAGTAGGTAGTTTCGAATTTCGGGATTTGTTTGAGATATTCAATGATTAAATTGATAATATCGATAATAATGTGTTGAATTCCTCTTTTGCTATTCTCAAAGGAAAAAAATCATATATTTGCTTGGAATGGAAAATAAATTACTCTTTTGCTATTCTCAAAGGAAAAATATCATATATTTGTTTGGAATGGAAAATAAAACTTTTCTTAAACATATTTATATAAAAAGTTTATATAAATTAGGACAAGTATATAGTGAGACAATTTATATTTGGTACAAGGTGGTCACAATTATTTTTGACATCCAAATTAGATGACTGGATTTATTCCATTAATCAATCTCAAACTTAAAAAATAAAATAAAAATTCTCAAACTTTGTAACACACGTGAGCTATCAGATTTCACATCGGATGGTTGTAAATCATTGAGAGTTTCTTATATCAAAGCTAAATGGACATTAAAACAATTGCTTCTAGTGAATTTTTTTGAGTTGCGCTATAATTTGATTGTTTAGAGCCTCACACTTATATAATTTTTTTTTTAAGAATAAAATATACATAATGGGAAAGAATTTATATAAGTGCGAGGCTATAAACAATTAAATAGAGCACACCTCAAAATTTTCACTTGAAGATGTTGTTTTGATGTCCAAATATCCTCAAATTGATCATCTCGACCTCAATATGCATGGTAATGAGAAAAAAAAGGATTTCAAGTTTTGGAAATAGTGCATTTTATAATGCATGTTTTGGCCATTAATTTTCAAGATTTTCAAGTTTTCGTAGATCTGCTTGATCAACACTATTTTTAAAGCTTTAAATTTTATAATTAGATATGATAATATATTTTAGGAAAAGTATACAATGAGACTGTTTACCTTTAGTATGAAGTGGTTACAATTAATATTGACTATTGGACGTGAAAGTAGATGGGTGCAGTTATGCTATCGACCAAGCTCAAACTTTAAAAGAAAATTTCTCAAACTTTGCAACACACCCAAGCTATTAGATTTCACATCAGATGCTTGTAAGTAATTGTGATTTCCTTGTCTCAATGGTAAATAGTCTCGTTGTATACAATCCCTATATTTTAAGGCTATCGCAAACATTTCTAGTACTGAAACCACATTTTGCGACACTATTTGAACGTATGCTTTCTTTTGATTGTTTAGAGTCTCGGCTCTATACAAACCGCCCCGTTTATTAGCGCTACTTCAAGAAGATAATTTCAAACAGTGTTTAAAGAGATCGGTCGATTTTTAAAAAATCGGCCGACTAACTCGGGATCGGTCACTGGCCGATCTGCCCCGATTCCAATGGTCATGTATGCATGAATTTTTTTCAATGCATTAATCGGTCGACTAATTGGACTAATCAGCACTAATCATTGATTTGTTAAAAAAATCGGCCAATAAGTACATTGTCACAGTGTAGAGTCAACAAAATTGTCCTTATAACATTTTTTGTATATATATATATATATATATAGATATAGAGCAATGATTTCATGCAACGGTTGTATAGTAATATGATGCAACAACCTTAAAAAACCATCTTATGGCCATTTGTTTGATCCAAATTTTGAAACATACACTGTTTTCATTCTAACGAACAATCACAAAAAAATAAAAATTTGAAAACATAACCTATAAAGTATTTTTTTAGCCCAATTAACGTAGACCGTTCATTTTGGTGAGATGCTTAGATTTAGGTCTTAGATTTTTCATTTCCAATTTTCTTGGATGACTTTATTATCATTAGATGAACAATGG